TTCTTCATTTCCCGGGCGCTACATATTAAAATAAAATTAATATAATAAATATATGATATTATTTATTTGTTTAATATAATAATATTTAAAAGTTATATATTTAAATTTTAAATATAAAATAAAATTCAAATAATGTTTATTATTTTTATATAACTAAAAATTATTATAAATAATATTTTATGCATAACATATAGTGTTGTCTGGTTCTTTGATTGAGAGGAAGAGTATATAAATTCATTGCTGACTACGAGGGATCGAACGAGACGCTTCCAAGCCGCCAAGTTGATTGAGGGAAGTCTACAAGCAGTGGTTTTTCATAGAAGCTTATCAGAGAGATGGATGCTAGAAAACCTGTTGCGAAACAGCTAGATAAAGAAGATGACGACGACGACGACAAAGATGAAGGAAGCATCATAACAGATGCAGGCTCTCAGTCGAGTCAGTAATTAACCAAATTAATCTGGGTTGTTTGACACGTCTCTTGGGTGAGCCTCTTTTTAATCTTTTATCACTATGCTTTTGCAATGAATTTGGATTGCGTCATGATCGGTGAAGCGGAAATTTATGAAAACAAAGAGAAAAGTTTTGATCTTTCACTTTCAATCATTAGTTGTTTGGGTCAAGCCATGACTTGACTCAAAAAATGATCTGGGTGACTTTATTTATAATCTGGATAAAATTGGATTAGTAGTGATTTTTTCTTAAATAATTCGTGTTTGTTAAATGTGATTGATTGGATTTTGAACATAGTTTCTTGTATTTACATCTAAAAATATGTGAATTATATTGTCGATTATATCAGGTCAAGAGCTCCTTATCAGTGAGGGGAATACAGACGGATACTGGAACTAAATTCTAGTAAGTCCCTGGCAGTTCTCTGGTTATCATTTTTTATATACCCTAATTAAACTAGTAAACCGATTTTTAAAATTAACTTGTCTATGTTGTGGTTATAATTGGTTTGTGTAGGAGAATTTATGGCAGATTCTGACATTTTTTTATTGTATGGGCAATAATGTTACTTTTTACATAGTATTGATCAATTAACAGCTTTTTAGGTTTTCATATTACTTAATGCAATTATTGCAATCTGGGCTCATTTGTTAATATTGGCTGTGACGACTGCCCGGACATTTCTGCTGGTTAAAATTTAAGGTTAGATTTAGTAACATTTTGCATTGACCAACATACATTGAGGGAATTCATTCGTTTATGAAAAAGTAGATTATAATGTAAAAGCGCTATACCTTAACCATGACCATGCACCTTTGATCTAACTCTGCACTGGTGGGATGTGAAGTCTTTAGTTATGAATGGTTCATCAAATTCTCGCATCTATTACTCTTCAAAATCTCAAAGAATTGTTTTATACATATCATTTTGACTAATATTGATTGGACAAGAATTTGTTCTAAATGCTGTCCGATGCTGAAAATATGCACGTATGGTAATATGATCTTTTAACGGCTAAGTTTCTAAATATTTCAATCCTCAAAATGAAATTTCATCCTATCATTATCATTGGCTAAATGATTGAGACCAAACGTAATCCGGCAAGTCAACCACTTATGCTTCTGGGGAAAATTTCATGGCACTGTAAATTTAGGAACTGATCCTCTATATATCATGCAGTTGTTAAAGTTGGAGAAGGTATGCTCACTCTGTTGCTTAGGGAATCTCTGATCTCATTAAACTATCTGTATATGAATTTCTGGTAAAAGTTGAATGGTTCACTCAAAAAATCATGTTAAATTGATTAAGAATATAAGCTCAAAAGAGTTTGATATGCAGCGAAAGGGGATTGCTTCGGAATTAAATCCCATATATTTTAATGAAGGGTCATCTGAAGCTGCATATCTTGCTGTTGGCTCTGTCATCGAGGTAATAGGCAAGCAATTTTGTAAGGCTACCGTAATGGTTCTTAATGGTTTTGTTGTGCTGTTTTTCCATTTTGATCTTTAACCAGGTCACGTCTTAAACTTTTACAATTCAAAAACTTTTTTTTTTTTAAAGAAAAAGTGTAACATATTCTAAGTATCAAGGAGCTGCAACCTGTATATAAAAATATTTTACAATTCATGAACATGTTAGTAACTAATGTAGAGACTAAAGCTACGTTGTCTAACATGAATGTTGCTTAATGTATTTCTGTATAAAACTGCTCAACAGTTGTTTTCGGTGATAAATATGGCATTTGGTTGACCTATGTTTTTGTTCTGATGTTCTGATGTTCTATTAGCCTCTAGTTCTTGTTATAGGATAACAAGTTCTAATACCAATAAATAGAAAAATTAAGAAAAGGGAGAAAGACGAAAGACCTTGTGTATCAAAATTCTAATCATTGTTAAAATCCATCACTCTAGTTCCCAAAAATACAAAAAAGTAGACCCTGTTAGGCTAAAATATTTAAGGGATTAATTATTTTGCAATTTACTTTACTTTAAATGACTTTTAGTGTGTGATATCAGGTTTATCATTGTCAACATGTATGTTTGAACTTTCAAATGTTTGGGCATCAGCAAACCAACTTGTTAACTTCAAGAATAATTTTCAGTACAGTTCTATTACTCATTATAAGTCAGTTTTTATTTCAGAGTTAAAAAGCTAGATATGGTTGTTTTATCCAATAGGTAGCAGAGAGGGTTGCCAAAAAGGAATTGGATTCTGCTTTTGCTATCGTTAGACCTCCAGGGCATCATGCCGAAGAAGATGAAGCTAATGGGGTTCTGTTTATTTAACAGTGTTGCTATTGCAACATGTTTTCTGTTAAATGAAAGAGTAAGAGTCAGTTTTAATCTTTAGATATAGTTTTCTTACCCAAAGTTATCAATCAATTGCTTTTTTTGTTAGATGTATAGTTGCCTATATGGATTTAGATTAGATGTTTCTTTTTCCATCCTTTAATAAGTTGTTTCCTTGTTAACCGTATATGTTTTTCTATTTTTCAGCCAAATTTGGGTCTAAACCAAATCTTGTTTGTTAACTGGGATGTTCAGCATGGTAATGGTACTCAAGAAACATTATGGAATGATCCTTGTGTTCTGTTCTTCTCTGTTCATAGGTACATATGAAATCTGAGCCATGCTTATTCATTTGCTTGACCATCGTGATTCACTTGTTGTATAAGTCCCAAGCTTTTGTCATATAAAGATAAATTAATAATGTCGGCAAGATCTTCACGTCCTCATCAACCAGTTATATATGCTGGAAAGTAGTGTTTCTTTGTTTTATGGACATATGCAAATGCAATTACTTTTCACAACCTGAGCAATGTCTATATGTCTGTCTGGCCATCCAAGAAGCATATTCAAATGATTATAGTTCTCCTCAGTAGAATGTCGAATGTCCATAATGTCCACTTTCTCGTACTTGTTAGTTCATAAACTTCAATTCTCTTGGTATTCAATGCATGTTTCTTAGTCACTCTCATTTAGGGACAGCACAGTTTTAATTGTTCTAAATGGAAGCTTATTATTTTTATTATTATTATTATTATTTATGATGTGTTTTTCTTAACTATATAAAATGTGTAGGCAAAAGGACACCCTTTCTATGCGTCCACTTTGAAATGTAATGCAGAAAACCTCGAGACCGTTGGAATGTCAAATCTTCTGGAATATATTTACATTAACAAATTTGTCGGACATGAGATTGATCTTTACCTGATGAAAGTTTTCCTTGAGAATATAAAAGCATTAGTGAAGTTGATCATCTCTACCTTTTGGAATAGTCTTGAAGCTGATGATGAATAGAAATCTAAGATTATTGAGAAGTTATTGGCATTTTCAAGAGTTTCAACAAAAGTGGAAGTACTTCTTTTGTAACTTAATTTTATTTGCTGAAAAGAGGTAATAATGTTTGTGCAATTTATTTTTAACACAATCAAAGGATTCTCATGTGTGTCCTTGAGTTTCTTATGTTCGTTCGTAATGACACGCCCTTATCTATATTCAGTTGAGAGGTGGCTGGGTTAAATTCTTTCTTGATAATGCTATAAAGTAAATGTTACTGTTAATTGTGGGAAATTTGTCCACTGGAAATTTGGAACTTGGTACCGAAATGCTCATGCTTTTTATCAGCAACATAACCTGATTGTTGCCTCAAAAAAAAGAAAACTTATTATTATTGCCTTAGTCCTTTTGGTTCCTACCATTGGTTTGTGAAACTGGAAAATGCAAGGCATGGTTGGCTATATTTTTAGTGTTTGTTTCATTTTCTTAAGGAGTGAACTGATCCTTTTGGTTCCTGCCATTGGTTTGTGAAACTGGAAAATGCAAGGCATAGTTGGCTATATTTTTAGTGTTCGTTTCATTTTCCTAAGAAGTTGACAATCATATTTTAGTAGCTATATTTTTAGGGACTTCAATTATTTTCCCTATGGAATGCTTAGACGCCTAGTTGCAGTAAATGTTTTATCCAAAGGGAAACCTTTAATAAGTACAATTTTTGTGAGTATTAAATCGTTTTTGAATCTCTTTTAATTGTTTTAAGATTTTTCAAATGAAAAAAATAAGAAAAAAGAAATGGCTCATTCTCACTGATTTCATTTGTATTGTTTACTTAGCTGCAGGAAAAATTCAATAGATCTCATAATGGTTCCTGCCTAGAGAACGAAGAAGATTGACGTTTGACATTGACAAAACAAAAGCTTAACTCTTTAGTTCTTGAAAGACTTACATTAGTGAGCTATAGACCTTTTTGAAGAAATGAAAGAAAAAGAGAGCCAACTTAATAGGCTAATAATAGTTTACTCTCTTGATGAAAGGGAATGAGTACTCTCTTAAATAGAGTCATGTACATTTTATAAAAATAGAGATGTGTAGCTTGTTCGACTTTTTGTGTTAATCTTTAGTTCTTTTTGTCAAAATTTTTGAAATTTAAAGTATTATTTTTGAATGACTTCTGCTAAATTAGAGAACCATATCCTTTTTTTTTTTATCCCTTCTCTTATTGGCATTTATCTATGAGATGAGATATCCGAGTGATGGCCAATTCCGTGAGAGAAAAACTTTTGGCTAGGGGAGACATCCGTAAGAAAATTTTTTATTGTTAATTGTTGATAGTTGTGGTGAGAATAGAAAATATTTAACGACTAACTAGAACATCATAGAAAATATATTATATGTTTAATAATATTTAATTTTTGGATTTTTAATCGATCAATCAAATTTAATTGATGAACAACGGTTGCTTTTGGTCAATTCTTTCATCGAAGAAAAATATTGGATCATTTTGGAGAGAGAGAAATAAATATATATAAATTTTGGTTTATTAATAACTTTTTAATTGGTTGCAAAAAATTATATACTATATATTTTTTTTTTCTCTAAATGTGTTTTGGTTTTGTTAC